ACACTTTCGCATGGAGACCCTCAGATCCATTGTGGAATCCTTACGACCCAGGGAATTCCTCTCCTCTTGGCAGAGGCATACATGCACGTTCCAATCTTCTTACACCATCAAAGATTCCTACGTTTCTGCGTGGGGGAGACTCATCTCCAGTTCCGAGCCCTGCCCTTCGGCGTCTCATCAGCTCCCTGGGTGTTTACAAAGATCCTGGTTCATCCGGTCATTTGTCTTCAAGAACAAGGGATTCGCATTCGCAGTGCTTGCAAGACTTCGGATTCCTGGTGAACGTGCAGAAAGCTCTCTGACTCCCACACAGCATCTGGAACACTTGGAGTGGTGATGGACACTCAAGCTACAAAGCTTTATCTTCCTGTCAAAAAAGCCAGAAAGATCAAAGAGTAGGTTAACCAAATTATTCAAGCCAGGACTTCACCCTGACCAAGATGATGGGCCTCACGGTCGTGGCTTTTGACACGCTACAATGGGGAAGGTTTTCACTCCAGACAACTGCAGCTAGTTACAGCCATACCAAAACTCTATTGCCTTATGGATAGCTCTTTCCTTGAAGTGGGCAGATGGTCCATAGTACCTCTCCAGGTGAAATTAAGTCTGCGCTGGTGGACCAAGTTGAACAATCTGTCTCAAGGCAAGTCCCTTTGGATCCAGGACCGGATCCGAATTTTCTCTGACACCAGTCTATCAGACGGGGGGGGGGCACCTTACTCTTCCTTTCGCCAGTGGATAGATGGTCCATAGCAAAAAGGAAACTGCCGTTCAATCTCCTGGAGATTCGAGCCATTAGGTGGGCCCTTCAACATTTTGCCCCTCAGATCAGGGGGAACCACATCCTTGTTCAGATGGACGACATCTCAGCGAAGGCTTACCTCAACAAACAGGGGTTCCAGGTCCTTAGCCCTACACAGGGAAGCGACTCAGTTTTTGAATTGGGCGGAATCCAATATGACATTGATCAGGGCAGAGTATGCGAAGGGAGTCATCAACACCCAAGCAGATTGGCTGAGCAGCCAGACAGTCCAGGAGGGCGAATGGTCCCTACACAAGAGAGTTTGTTTTTTCCGGCTCAGAGCGGTGACACTGGGAACTCCACAGTAGACCTATTTGCCTCTCCGCTCAACAACCAACTGGACAGATTTTACATCAGATATTTTCATCCCCAGGCGGAGGCCACGGATGCCCTTGGCCCGAGGGGCTCCTCTGTACGTTTCCTCCTCTTCCTGTACTTCCCAAGCTTCTCTGGAGGATATGAGTTCTAAGGGCAGAGATTGTAGTGGTGGCACCATACTGGCATCGTCATCCTTGGTTCACATTGCTACAGGAGATGGTGGTGACGACTCCTCTAGCCATTCCTGTCTCAGAAGACATACTGCTTCACGGTTCAGTTTGGCATCCCAGGCCAGGGTGGTTCTGCTTACGTGCATGGAGATTGAAAGCGACAAGCTATCAAAACTAGGCTACAAAGAGTCAGTCATCAATATGATCATGGCCTTTAGAAGGCCGTCTGCCTCAAGGATCTACAATACTACTTGGAAGGCCTTTGTCTGATGGGCTCAGCGGAAGATGGCTGACCCATTGTATCCGGAAATTAGATCACTACTGGAGTTCCTACAAGGACGGTCTGGTTAGCGGTCTCAGGGCAGTGACCCTCAAGAAACATGGTGGCCCTGGCTTTGGTCCTGCCCCAGTATAATTGTCTTAACATCCCTCAGCACCCTCACATTCACCGTTTCCTCAGAGGGGCATCATTCCAGGATTCTCCACTGAGACATAGGTTTCCAACTTGGAAGCTTAATACTGTTCTCACAGCTCTTACGAAGGAACCCTTTGAACCGATGTAGCCATTCTGCTCAAATTCCCGAGGATGAAAACTTTGTTCCTCCTGGCCATTACTTCAGCTAGGAGGATTTTGGAACTAGGCACTTTGTCAATTCAGTTGGAGCTG